ACAGCGGGTTTTGCCTTTCGAGGGGCAGAGCCAGCTGTACCCGCCCCTCCCCCGTCTGTTCCGCCAGTCAGCGCTGGAGGATCGGAGGGGGGGAGGATCGGACAGGGGAGGGGGAATTCAGTCCCTCACCTGTCACAGCAGAGAGCCGTGACCGGATCGAGAAGTGAGCAAACGCCGGTATGTGTTCGCTCACCTCCCGATCTACTGAGCCGACCTGTGACAGTCTCATTGTCACAGGTCGGCTAGAACTATGAGGTGAGTGAAAAGCACTCACCTCATAGTTCTCATTTAATGGACTGCCCTAGTCTAAGCCCTCATTCAGTTCACATTGACATTTTGGAGGGGATCTTGAAACAGGCAAGGAAAATCACAAACCCCATTCATGGAAAAGTGACAGTTTTACTAAATACCCACAAGAAGTCCAATCTGCTTCGGGGCAATCCTGCCTATGATGCCAAGGATGTGCTTACTTTTTCACAGTACACTAATTGATATTTTTGTTGTTTAAATGTTTGAAAAGGCCATTTTTTTTCTTGTGTTCTTATTGACGTGTATCACCTTTTTCGTAGGCAATGTTTGAATAAAATTCTAATGTTTGTGTGATCAATTATGTTAAAGTCAACAGTTTTCCATGGGGTGTACTTCCCTTCTCCTATGACTCTACATTGCTCCTGTGTTTTATTAATATGTTAATCAAGTCAGAGTTGAATTCATCCATAATATTCATATACAAGATTCCCTCCATACACCACTCAACCAGTGGAGATTGTTGGTTCCTAGAAATGACAAGAACAGATGGTCCGGTGTCAGATCCAGCAAAAAAGCAGAATGTCACCAACAGTAATGTTCTTTTCATAGTTTTAGTGTGAAGAAATCATCATATGATGAAACAGCTGATGTTTTGGGGGTCTCCCAGTGTCCCTTTGCCAAGGTAGTGCCTGTCCCTGTGAGATTTCATTGTGTGTTTTTAGCATGTGATGATTCTTTCATAATGAATCTGTGAAAAGAACATTTATTAGAGCACATGCTTTTCACTAATTGGGAAAATCTTGCCCATTTACTTTTTTTTTGGCTTAATTAATGGTCATGACAAAAGTTTTATTGATCATGTGTGTTGACAGCTTGTGAATAGAACAGTGAAAATATTGTAATTCTGGAAGCCTTTGCTCTTGTATTCCATATAGATTTGACCCAAGTGTGTGAACAGCCATGTGGTGCTTCTATAAAGTTCATTAAGATATTCAAGGCAAGCGTCAAGAAACATTGAGGTTCTGTGGGGAGTTTCACTTAGACCACAGCAGATCTGATAAAATGGCTGGCGATAGAATGGATAGCATTTCCAAAGCCTATAAGAACCATATTGCGGAGAAATGGCTGCTGGCTATGCAGTTTGATCCATGTTTACTTAAATTTGCCATTATTCCAAGTTATTGTCGGCAAAATTGCACAGGTTTTCAAACTGCTGGCAGGCCTGTCTCTACTCATTTCCTGCAGCAAGCTTTTCTGATAGGAACTGGAAGCAGCATTTTCATCTTTTTAGGTTTTTGCTTTTGTTCCTATGAGGGGAGTTTTCGATAAGACAAAATTGTATTTCCAGGGTTCAAAGAGGAATGAAAGGACTTGCCACTGTTTAGCTGACATGAATTCTTGTCATCCCTGGATTGTCTACAACTTCAGAAGTTGCCCTCTGTTGATTGACAATAAAGTTTCAGCCCCTGCTAGGTGGTGTTAAATCGCAGCTGCATGTCACAATGAAAGCAAAGCTGCATTTGTGATGCTAGGGAACACAATTCTTCTAAGCCTTCTAATAGATCCCCAGCCAACCTTGTATTGTCTACGCTAACTCAAATGCACCATGGGAATGCTGTCTTTCACTAAGAATGCTGTCTTCTGTAGATCGAGAGCTCGAAAACCATGGCAGCAGACCTTCTCAGAAGTTTTTGGCACTCGCTGGAAGATCCTGTGGTTTATTCCTTTCAGGCGGAGACGACCACTGGGAGTCTCCTACTACTTTGCCAATCATGTCTAAACAGATGGATGGTGGGCACAGATGGATCCGCCACGCTGGAAGCAAGTTACAGGTTTTATCTTAACAGTGCTATGACAGTCTTCAAGTCAATTATAATCCACCCACCAATCTTAGACATCACAAAGTGCCCCAGGCTTTGTTTTAATAGTGATCTCAATGCAGTTGTGGGAACAGTACAAGATATGTATTTATTTGCTGAACATTGTCTCCTTTCAAGATGTCCTTTTTCCCTTCAGGACATATTGAACTCCCTCAGGCTACAAATTAAAACCATGGATTAAGATTTTTGTTGAAGTGGTTTTGTTTTTTTTAAACTTTTTTTTTTTTTCTTCTTTTTTTTTTTTTTTTTTTAAACGCCCTGATAATACCTGATACATGGATTCCGTTTTGAAACTTTTGTTTTGTTTTTTAATTTTGGATTCCAGCTTCCTAACCAAATAGTAATTATTTTTGTATAATATATACAAACTGTTGTATTTTGCAAATCATTTGTTTTTAACTTACTCCATTTTTTTCTGGACTACTGCTGCATACAGTGCATCACAAACTAATATACTGGAAATTAAATATGCTTTTAACTTGAGATTTTACCATGTGGCTGGTTGTTAAAATGAATTCTACCCATCATGCAGTATAGTAACATCATGTATTTGTATATTTGTGCTATACCTACAATAAGTGCAAATGTCGGCTGCTTCTTTTTTTGTGTTTGTGTGGTGTGCAGTTGCCATATGCTGAATCTCTAAAAATATTCCGCTGTTCATATGGTGTGTTTTACATATATAGATTTTAAGAAGTAGAACTGGTAATATAGCTATAGATAGATTATTATTTTATATTGCACCATTATATACTGTATTACAGAACACTATACAGAGTGTATATATATTTTCCTAAGGATTCAGTTTGGGCATTCAGCTTGTTTGTACAATCACACATGGACACACTGCACTATGGCAAATAAGTGTAAAGCTGGCCATATACCTATAGATTATCTGCAGATTTTCTAGGGTCAGATGGAAAAAGTGCAACAGATTCCTCCATCTACGCTAAACTGTGTGGATGGAGGAATCTCCCACTGGGCCAAGCTTCAGTATCTTGCTAGACGGCCCCGCTGGCTCTCAATATACCTGAACAATGCCTGCATCCAATCAGATTGTTCAGGTATTTTGAGAGCCAGCGGGGCTGACTAGTAAGATACTGAAGCTTGGCCCAGTGGGAGATTCCTCCACCCACACAGTTTAGCGTAGATGGAGGAATCTGTTGCACTTTTTCCATCTGACCATAGAAAACCTGCAGATAATCTATAGGTGTATGGTCAGCTTAATACATACGTTGGATACAATAATCAAGGTGCAGTCAAAGCTTTTATTTGTTTTACAAATGTGTTGGGCATAATAAACTGTCGATCAAATACTAAGAAATTCCAAGTTGTTTGTGTCAAAATGTAGAATCTAATTCGATGTTCCTATTAAATGTGCAACAAAGACCCTTTTCCCCTAAACTGTCTGATTTTGTATTTGACATTCAATATGTATCACTGTTGGCACAGCTACCTGCCCATTATAGTACTACAATACGTGTGGAACCATTAATTGATCTATTACACGGTAAAGCTTTTTTTTTTTTTAAATAATATTGTGCAAAGTATTAAAAAAAAAAAAACTGCAACTTCTGTTGTAAAGCAAGAATGATATGCAGCACAAGTATCCATAGACTTTAGAATACTTTTTCCGTATCCATGTAGACTTCCACCGTATATCTTTCTAATATGTAGGTTTCTGTGGCCTGCCAGGGAACTTTGGATGTGATGTTTATTGGGAGAACTGTAGAATTGGGAAGTAAGATTCTCAAACACATCCATTCACTTTCTCTCTATTTTTAAAAATGCATATTTTGTAGTTTAAGTAGTACCTCGCGTTATGATTTTTGACTGCTTTGTGCTGGAAAATGCCTCTGTCAGTGAAAAAGCTGCTTTCCCTCCTTCTATGCAGTCCTCTGTGTTGGCATTCTTGAGTAACCGCTACACCCCTCATCACAAATGCCCTCACAGACTTCACAATACTGCTGTTACAGATAAGTCAGTGAAAACGGAGGTGTTTTTTTTGTACAATGTCTATTAGGCCCCATTCCCACTAAGTGATTTATCGCGCATTTTTGCAGCGCGATATCGCGAGAAGTCGCCGGCCAATGCTGTTCAATGGAGCTGTCTTGGCTCCATGTCGCGCTGCGCAAATTGTTGGCACTATATAAATCCAGTATAATAATAATGCAGAATCGTTGGCTAGCAAGAAAGATAAAGCACTATCAGTGACACTAAGGACGTTGCTGGAGATGCCTTCATTTTTACCCTAAGCAGTGTGTACAGAACTCTGGGAAAAGCAGTGAACCAGTCACATGAGCTGTGTCTGAAAATTCTGGGAAGCCCAGTCCACAACAAGGGTTCTGTTGTCAAGGTTACAAAATGTGATATATTTTTTCCACTTTAGAAAGTCATAGCTGGCTTTCAACTGGAGTGGGAAGTAATATTGAATAGCACTACAGAAACATTACCCCATCACAAAGTTTTGGTAGATGTTGGAAGTTTACTTCTCAACTCCTTATATGTGTCAGAAATGGAGGTGATATCTTGGACATGGGCATTATTAAGTGGTCCCTCCCTGTTATAAAGAATTCCATTGGAGGGTTGAAACACTTCCAAAGCTCTAAGGTGTGCAAGGACAGAGCCAGGAAATATAGGTAGATCTCTTGCATGTAGTCTGGCTTTATCCAGTCTAGCTAAACTATGCTTTTTGACTTTGTATGTAATATATTTCATTTTTGTCAGTTGCCAATGTAAATGTAAGCAGTACATGAGCATATGTGGTGATTTTTAAAGGAAACCAGTGCTGAAAAAAATGTGTAGGCTTCCTACGTGGTTGAACAAATGTCCATTGTATACAGGTCAACATCGGCAACCAGGAAGTCACATTTCCTTCCATGAAAAATGTCTGTGTTTGTTTTTTGGAGCATTAATATCATTAATATCATTAGTAAGAGTCCTTTTCAGCTCCATTTGTCTAGAAAATATATGACATGTCAATGGTTTCTGGTAACTCTGGTGTAAAGGAAGAGATGGGTGCAGTTTATGTTGGTTTCCCAAGAGAAGCTACCTTTTACCTATCCCTGATATGATAAAATTCAAATCATATTTAATTGTATTGGATGGTGATCCTGTGTGTCTTGCAGTCGCCTATGGGATACATGTCTTCTATTGCTTTATAAAGGGGTATGAGAAAACCGATCACTTTATGCCTAGCCATAGTAGTAATGTAGCTCACTGTATATTATGTACTCGGTGTATATGGCAAACTTTAGTGGCTTGGTGGAAGGGAGATTACCTATGCCAAAGCTGCCTTGGCTGAAGCATTTGTTGGTTGCTTTTTGCGGCCACATTTACACATTGCTATTATTTAAAATCCCCTCCTGGGCACAGGGATCCTACGAAAAGCCACAAAATTCTGGAATAATGTGTTCAGCACGAACTGTCAGGTCCTTTTTTAAATGAATGCAATAACAATATTTTAATAAAAGTGGCAATGCTCACCTTCCTAATGTGTGCCACATCCCCACCTTCAATTCTTTAACATGCAGGGCAGAGCAAAATAATTGCTTAATTGCCCAGCATTTTCCACCACCACCAAGTATTTAATGTACACCTTGCTATTTAATTTAACAGTACCTCTGCATGTGGGCTGTATAAGCTCTTCAATGCTCCCTCTCTCCTGTTACAGCTCCCTAGAATTCCCAAAATAGCAGCTGTGAAAACTCTATGTAAAACTTGTTCATAATTCTGGGGTTAATTATTATAATTTGATAGGTCTGTCTGACAAGTCAGAGTGTAAAATAGATGAAGTATTGTTCCCTTGATATGCCAGTGCTTTGGAATCGCCTACTAGAGACTTTGTGTTCCATGTAAATGTATTGTTTGTAAATGCTTCTGCAGACATCAGTATAGGGCAGCTTGCATATTACATTATTTAAAGCACCATATTGTTTCATTAAAGGAGCGGATTAAGTCGTTTTAACATCCTTGATCCACTCATTCTACTTGTACTGTTTCATCTGGGGATTTATAATATCCCTGCTGCATCTGATCTTAGATCTTGGTGGTCATTCTTGATGAGCTGGCTGCTATTCTCTAAGCACATATCTATGCATTATGCAGCACCTTTAGTGAAGGGAGAGAAGCATATTATCTGGTCACTAGTAAGTCCGAGCTAGATTTGTTGTCTTAAACTGGCTTCACACAAGATTTGACATGGCTGGTTCTTATTTATATTATAGGAATTTCCCTATACTGACCATGCCATATGGTGCAAGTACATAAGAAGTTATTCACAGAGAAAGGTAGATATTTGACAGCGATCTTCTAAAACATTAGATGAATTCTATCCAGTTGTCCTATGTATGACTGGCTTCAGTCAACTAAACAAATGGTCAATAAAACTACTAGGGCTGCAACAACTAATCAATGATAATCGATAATGAGAATTGTTGTCAATGATTCTCCATTATCGATTCGTTGATTCACTTAGTTGAATCCGCCACAGCTCTGCTCCCTCATCTCCTCCTCGCTGGGAGCCACTGCATGCAGCGGTCTGTCACCTTTTGATCCCTGCTGCTCTTCCCGCCTATATTGGCAGAGGAAGCGGGAATCACAGGGGGACACACCGACATTTCAATGGCACTCCAAACGCGCCTCTGGCCCACAGTGTGATTTGTTCCAGTGCAGCGCTATTGCCAAAAAATGTGCACGCAGTTTTATTTTAAGGTAAACTTGTTTGTAGCACTTCAATTGTTTTTATTTTGAATAAAATGTTTTTTTAATCCAATTTTAATCGAAACAAATAATCGTCCACCTAATCAATTATGAAAAAAAATTGTTAGTTGCAGCCATAAAGATTACTGACATACTACAAGCGCATGCAGAAAAGCTGGTAATTTTGATTACGTGATTTAAGATCGCTGTTCCAAATGTATGTCTATAACTGCCTGACAAAAATAGTAGCACTGTTGCTGTATATATAGATTCCTACATGATGATACTGCCAATACCTTTTTGTTGAATAACTGACCATATTGCATTGTGTAAGCTGTCAAAATCACTGTTTTACAAAATATGTTCCATTAGCCAATGCAAGTGATCACCTATATTTTCATTTTCCTTTATCTATGGATTAACATGGTTCAATACCATACTGCTTAAAACCTGATGCCACATTTACCTAACCTCCATATACTGCAAACGAATGGGAGAGATGATTCCATAACTATATTCAACCAGTTGGGCCCATAGTGAATGTTTGTGCACTGAACAGACACGCATTTTTCTAGTCATATATTTGCCAATGATACAATAATGTCTAGTTTATTTTAGATTATTTATTCCCCAAACCAGCTCACCAAGGAGTGTCTGCCGAGGTTGCAGTGTGTCCAGAACTACAGCAGTTTCCCAGATTTGTACATGACAAACTGTAATTGGCATCACTTGCATTTATTCCTTACGCTTTCACTCTAACAATAGAGATTTTGGATATTCAAT